CCCTGGGTTGAGAACCATGCTTTACTAGACTTAAACAGAATAGAAACAAATAAGGTGCTTTGCATGTTCTTGACTTTTTATTTCTTTTGCATTTTTAGACTAGCTAGCAAGTAAGTCTGTTTCTGTGAAAAGTGATATTAACAAACATACAAATATCACTTTTCATAACAGACTTACTCAGCCCTGGCAAGCCAGGGGACAAATTTAGCCCTGGATGGGGAGATGGGTAGGGAGGCAGCAGGGGACGGGGGCCAGAGGACGCAGTGGGGGCAGGGGAGGTGGGGCGGGGGTGTGAGCCCAGGGCCAGCACCTGCCACTGCACAGCTGGGGGACAGTGCAGGGCCAAAACCTGGGGCCAGAGAACACAGTGGGGGCCGGGGGCAATGGGGACGGATGGAGCCTGGGGCCCACACCTGCTGCCAGAGGCAGTGGGGTTTGTGTGTGTGTGTGGTGGAGGCGTGAGCCTAGGGCCAGAGCCCGAAGCCCCCTAGGCTGAAGGCCAACCCCCACCGCCCCCGGGAAGGTGGGGAGCTCACACCGGCTGCTTGTTCTTCTGACGTTTGTGGCCCAAGAGGGGGGTAGGACCCAACCCCTGCTAGTGGCCCCGGAGGAGGGCCACTGCTCCTCACCATCCAGGAGGCTGTGGCCGCACGAAAAGCTCCTGGTGGCCATATGCGGCCATGGTGTCCGCATTTGAGAAACACTGGTCTAAATGGCTGTATGCTTCAATTTCTGAGATTCAGGCATTGCTTGGTGCTCCATTATAGAACGGCAAAGTAAGCTGAAACACTTAACTGATCATTTGTGTTCAAGTTCTGTTTTATAATTGTTGCCAAACTGAAGCATTACAACTACTTGGTATATGTATTGATATATAAAGTGGGATAGCTATAACAGAGGAATTTTGAAGATGCCCTTTAATATTGCAGATGTTTGTAACCCTTCTCCAGATACTTCTCCTTGATCTTGCATTTGATAGCCATCTATTGTTGTGTAGATAATTATGATTTCAGCAATGATCTTATAAGGGACACTATTTGCCTAATTATGGTCCTGTATATAAAGAAATTGATTTGCAACAACCTGATCACAAGGTATGTCTTCAATGTGAGTTGGGCAACAAAGAGCTTCACGTTCTAGTGACTTTTGTATCTGATTTAAAAAAAAAAAAAAGAAATGGAGAATGGTCTGACGACTGGAGAGACCTGTCAACAGCCTTAGAAGTAGGAAACACGTCCCAGGACACAAGCTCTGCCGTATTTTCACCTAACAGTTACAATTAGAATGCTTTTAGATTCTGGAAACCATCTTCAGTCAGTACTAATGGCCCTAAAACTTGTGTTCTGTTAAGACTTAGTAATAATCAATATTTAAATTTCAAGTACTGATCATAGTTTTTACCTTGATTTTCAGAAGGTGCCTGTAACGAAAAACTGTAAGGAAAGCAGACTAAAAGAAAACACAGTGTCCTGTGCGGTGGGTTTCTCTCCAAGGCTGCTGTAACTTGCTGAGTGTAAAAGTGCACAGTTTATTGTTTATGCATTAAGTAGTTTATGAAAAATAAGGTGATTTAGCAAATGTGGATTAGTGACCACTCCACGCCCTTCTTGTGTAACCTCTGTATAATACCTGTAGAAAAAATAGCCGGTCACTCGTACAGCATTGACTGATCATTGCATTCTTAACAGAGTAAGTTTGAAATCTTTCTTTTTAGTTGACCTGGTTAATTCTAACACTCAATGCTCTTGCATTGATTTCAAATGCCCATAATCCAGACTCACCAATTCTGTCAGCCTCAGCTGTTTTCTTGCTTTTCTATTTATAGTTGGGCTAAAAAACAAAGTGGAATTCATTGCTGTTCTGGTGGAATCATTATAACCTATTGTATAAATCAGTTATGCACTCTGCCTTTATACTTTGGTGTCATAGTCCATGTCAAACACTTCTTTATATAGTGACCTGATGAGCCTGGATAATTCTGGCTGATTAAGTGGCTTCTGTTGCAGTCTGAGATTTGTGAGCAAGCACAGCTCCAGATCTTGGAGTAAACCCTACAGTGTGTACTGTTCTTCAGTAGTAGACTCTTTCAAGGTTATGCCTCCTTGAGTACAAACACACATTAGATGTACACCTCTGCCCCGATCTAACACTGTCCTTGGGAGCCAAAAAACCTTACCGCGTTATAGGTGAAACCGTGTTATATTGAACTTGCTTTGATCCACCAGAGCGCTGCTTTACCGCGTTGCATCCGAATTTGTGTTATATCGGGTCGTGTTATATCTGGGTAGAGGTGTATCTTATTGGGCTTGACTTAAAATTGCTGCTGATTGTTCTAAAGAAACGGTACTCCACCAAAATAAGTTATATAATGGTTGCCGAATCTTGATTTATACAGTACAAACATTAGTTGTATGATGGTACCTCATACAAAAATCTGTAGTGGCTTTGTAATCAAGCTAAGGGTTGGGGGACAAGATGGACGTGTTACAGGGATATGTAGATATTTGCCAACATTTCTCTTCCTTTTGGCCAAAATAATGTACGCCAAGATAAAGGGACACTTTCAGGCGAAAAAACTTTAAAAAAAATTTTTTTTTTAAATTTACTAACAATACTTTTAGATTAAAGAATGTTTAAAGTCTACTATTTATAAAGCTCACTTAAGTTTAATTCAGTGGATGACAAATTAGATATTTTCACTTTCTGATTCTCAAGCACTATGAACAATGCACGAGAATAACAAAACAGGAAACTGTTTAACTGCAACTAAAGCAAATCCATGAAAATATTGGCTATCCTTAAACTTGTTTAGCCTAAACCACTTGATGTCTCTTGAAACACAGAAAATACACTTTGTGTGTGTGGAATACTGACAACATTTTATTGGTGTCACGACCATTAAAAGCGTATACACATTTTAATCTGGTTAAAGAAAAACACTGTCCTCTTATGCAAGCCGAATCATGAGTTCTGTCTTACTTTCTGCATGTGAAAGTGATTTAGTGGCTTGCTGCTTAGTAGCCTTGAGGCTAACATAGATATCTGGATAACTGTTTCTCACTGCAATACTGCAGTGTAAAGTGCATTATGTTTCAGAAAACTAAGAACCAGGACTGAAATCTAACTTGTAAATACATAGTGGAAATGTGCTACAAGTATACCGCAAGTACCCTGTTGCATTAATTTTTTCAAGTCTCATGTCACTTTGTATGTTTCACTTCATATGTGCTTCATGTGACATGCATAGCTGTTCTGAACTTGTTTCAAACCAAATTTTGACAAATGGGAAAGAGGAATTTTATGAAACTTTTCACCTAGCTCTAGAGACACATGAAATTTACTAAAATCTTGTTCTTTCTTTTCCAGTTCTTAGCAGGCAAAAATTTTATTAAAATTCAGTTGTGAAGTCTGAGCACCTGATTAAAGAACTGTTAACCTGTGGTTTTCCAATAAGTTGGGTCAAACAGCCCTAGTGGTTAGTGGACACAATTGCACATCACCTGGGCTTCCTGAAATTTCTCATTGGTCTGACATTCACTAAAGCAACTGAATGTGCCTTCTTGGCATTCAGTGGATTTACTTCCTGAATTGTCCATCGGGCTACGTGTGACCCATGAAACTCTGTGGGAGGAAGATATTGAGAACAAAAATTTCTTAATCAAGCTGTATAAATATACATAGGAGAAAAATGTAAATGTTACCTTCCTGTTAACCTTCTCTTTGTTTCATAGTCCTCCAGCAGTGATAGCAGCAGCAGTTGCAGTAGCAGTAGCATCAACAGCCCTGACAGAGGAAGTGGTCCAGAAACCAGCTTAAACCAGATAATTGCAGCATCCAGTCCTATCACCCCCCCATCCTTCCATGAGCAGTCTGCACTAAGTCAAGGTCCTTACTTCCACATCAACCAGATCCTGAAGGAGGCACACTTTCACAGCTTACAGAACCGTGGACGCCCTCCTACATGATGAACCAGCAGTTCCTTGCCTTCTGTGAAGGGACAGCACTGTGTAGATTTGATATTTCAACTTAAAGTTTGTTAAAATGAAATTGCACAAAACGCCTGTTGCCTTTTCAGTCTATATTTGAAATAACAGGTTAACAGGAAATTGTTTACTTGTGGTTTGCTGCACTATTGCAATGCAAAAGGGGCTTTGAAGCAATTTTTATAGGATTATTTTTTGGGGTTGGTATCAAATACATGTACGATGAGTCTGAGGAACCCACATCTGTATTATAGGCGTGCATAATGAGTCCAATTCAGATTGACTGCCTAATCTGTTTGTTAGCAACTGTTGCTTTATGTAAAGTCCTTTCAAACGTTCATCTTCAGTTTTATAAATCTTTTTTAATTTCAATAAACTAGTGAACAAGTTTCCATGGTCAAGTATTATTTGCAAAAGTTGAGAGTAGTTAAAGGGACATTCACTGAAAATGTCTAGTGTTACAAGCACCACCCATGATTACTATAACTGGAGAACATCTCCTGTAGCTTAGCTTGTTTAGTCTTTCATGCAGCAGTAAGACAAACAAGAAAATCCTTCTCTAGAACGAGGCAGAAAGCTTGAATTTCAGCTGTTTAAGTTATGAAAAGAACTTCCGCATATAACCACTTGAGAGACAGGTAGTATTGGGTATGTTCAGAAAGCATGCTATGCCACGCCACTCTGAGATGCACAGTAAAAGGAAAGCTGATTTCAACACTCCAGAAGATGTTGAGTTTATATGAATGAATTTTTCTTCTTCCCTTACCTAGCCTTAAGTGATACCCTTCTTTCTCCCCCTCTCCCAGTGTTAAGTGCATTTTGTTAACTTTTTGCTTCAGCAGTCACACTGCAATATCTTAACCTACTTCTAGTTTAAACACTATAACACATATACTGTGGCTAGGGGAAAGGGATAAGAGCATGCTGTCTTACTTTCTTACTACCGAGTCCTGAGCAGTTTAGCCAGTACAGGCCTGGGCGAGTGTGTTCTGAGAGGAAATGAATGTGTAGGCAAACTTAAGTGTTTCATCTTTTTATTAGCTCACTTGGTCATGCTAGAGAGCCAACTCAGTTTGAACAGGGATGGTGCAGCTGTGTCTTCCTCCTCTGTTGCCAGCTGTCTGAACAAGGAACCAGGGCGGAATGTTTCCTCTTCTGCTCTTACGACGGAAGGAGGTAGAACCTGTTTTGTTTTTTTTAAAATGAGAGAATCGGTGAATGTTCTACTGCCTCTTACATTGATCCCACACCCAGCCAGTAGTTAGCAGCTGCAGGGAGGGGGACAGTAAGGTAAGAGAATCAGGAACGGTATGTAACTGAGTCCAACCTGAACCCCTGCCTCTCCCGCTACATGTACAGGATTACTCTACCTATTCAGCCTTGTCTACACTACATTTCTAGTATTGGAGAGGGGATTCTAGCTTCTGGCATCGTAGAGCTGCTCCCTTCCCCTGTGCAACTGGATTGGTATGCTGTTAACTACTTAAGATTTGTAAGAATCACTTAAGGTGATTGGTTTTAGTGCCTAGCCCAGGAAAGGTGGCTACTCCATTTCTCTCTTGCTTTAGAAAAGAAAGGCAACAATGGTATTTTACACATAGACAATAGTTTTTGATTAAGTACTCTACACAATCTTACATGATTCACTATATCATGAGATCTGAGAAAAGGTGGAGAGAGCATATCTGCTAGTAATTGAGAAAAGGGGCATTCTATGAAACAATATATACACGCATCACTGCAGCCACGACTAGTAACACACATCTTTCTGTTTCTAAACGACACTAGATACCCTGGGGGCAGGAGGTCAAGAATATCTTTTTTTAAAGTTGAATTGTTTTGAAACAAGTGTGCTGTTTGGAACAACTAAAGCCAAGACGTTCTCCCCTTGAATTCCATGAAGCAGCAGAATGTGATAGGTTGGCTCCCATTTAGGTAAACGTCTCTACTCTTATAAAAGAGCAGTGGATCTTTATTGAATAAATGCAGTCAGGCCTGTGCCCTACTGCACCATACTGGGGTATAGTCACTGATGACTTGGAGGGATGAGTGCATTTAGGAATACCACTTCCTGGAGCAGCTAGGTATTCCTTGGCTCTCCCAGTCCTCAGCACAGGACCCTGGGGAATGGGTATCCATGTATACAATTTATGTTAATATAAAATTTAATACAGAGCAACTGGACAACACTAAATGCTGTTGTAGGTGAAGCAAGCCACTCAGAATGCACACAAGTTTAAATACCCAAGCAAGATTTCTTCAGGAGTACAGGTCATCGTCCAACTGGAATGAAGTTTATAAAATAGTTAGACAGCATCTCTTAACAGCTTAACATTCCTTACTACTTCCCTTAAATATAGATGAAGAAGTTACATTTTAAGTCTTCAGTGCATAAACTTAAATCACCACTACGCTGCCATGATCTGTCAGCGGGGGGCTAGAGGGCTGGAATTTTGTGCTACCGGACTTGCTTTTGGCCTTTGGCAAATTGCTTATTGAAAATGAGCTAATCAGGTTTTCTGTTGTTAAAACAAAAGGGGTGGGGGTGATTACTTACTTGCAAAACTAATGTGAGGATTAGGATTTGTACAGTATTTTAAAAAAAGCAGTCATACTTGGGACTGTTTGAAAAGTACTTGTCTCTTACAAGGGACTGCTGACTTAAATATTTGCTTGACTTGTTCTCCCTTCTTAGGCGCCCCTGAACCAAGTTCTTGCCATTTTTTTTAGTATCCTCAGCAAGCCTGGAACCCTTATTTACAATGCTGCTTCCCTGCTCTGGTAACGCAGTAGGGATCTGTGGTAAGAGTAGGATGGTTTATAACAACTTCACCAACCTGAGTCTGATTTTCTGTGTTTTTAACAGCAGATTTAGTCTTTCGAGAGCTTGACATACTAAGCGGTAGAAGTCCAAATCTTAAAGAGAGAAATAAGGAAATGCATTCAGTCATACTGAAGTTTCAGTTCAAGACGCTTGCTTTCTAAAAAAAAGTGATATCTGCATCACTGAGCAAATTACCTGATTTGACTAGATGCTAATGGCAAGATATTGTGAGGCTCCTGGGAGCTCAAATTATTGCTTCTATTGGTATACTGATTCTCTGCCCCAGTGAGTAAGCCAAACAGGACCTAGAAGACAGGAAATAAGTGCCATTTTTAAATTCTGGTGGTTGAGGATTCTGTAACACAGCAACTGCTCAAGTAACAAGAAGGCCCTGCCTGCATACAGAAGCTCTCAAATACACACACAATTGTCTTTATAATGCTGAATCCTTTCCCCAAACATGCTTAATTTTTGCATTTCAAGGCAGCTGACTTGTCTCCCCTCACCCTCTTAAACACGTTTCCTTTAGTCAGGGCTTGTCTAACTTACAGGGCTGCAGTGGCGCAGCTGCAGCATCTTCACTAAGAACATAACAGCCATACTGGGTCAGACCAAAGGTCCATCTAGCCCAGTATCCTGTCTTCTGACAGTGGCCAAGGCCAGGTGCCCCTGAGGGAATGAACAGAACAGGTAACCATCAAGTGATCCATCCCCTGTCGCCCATTCCCAGCTTCTGGCAAAAGGAGAGCTGTTTCTGTTGGTGTAGGTACTCCACCTCCCCTAGAGGTGGTAGCTAGGTTGATAGGAGACAACCTCCTGTGAAAAACAGCATTAACTACATCGCTCCACACCCCTCAGTGATGCGGTTATACCGAGATAAGTTCCTAGTGTACATCACGCCTCAGCTAGCTGCCTGCTACTATGGGAGCAGAATCTGGGGCTGGCTGTGTGTGGCAGTTTGTATTTCACAGATTCCAATGACTCCCTTTTAGTTACAAAGGGAGAGAGCCGAGCAGGAGTGCTATAGAGAACTCGCTCAGAAAGCTATGCCTACTCCAGCTAGCTTTAAATATCCCATCTGCAATGCTGAGTGCAGGCCAATAGTTAGCTGCTGTTGAACTGCATAACGGGAGGAAACGATCTGCCTGCCTGATAACTGCAGTAGAACAAAGCAGCAAACAGGTTTTGCACCATTTACTTCTGTTGCAGGGAACTACTTTCCCCTGAACTTACAGAGGTTCGTTGTACCAGGCGGTTAAGGCTGCTGTTTAAATGTGGAGTAAAAACATCCAAGTCAAACGGATCAATGTTGGCTTCTAAGAAGTCGGTCACCGTCTCAATCCTGCAACAAGACCAAAAAGATGCCATTACAAATCTTAAAAGTAGATTACAAGGTGGACAAATGCTTATGATGGGGCAAGTGGAAATTGCTGTTGCAGGGGTCCCTCATGAAACTGAGCTGCTCCCCGCTCACCTGACCTATGTCTGGAGTACAAGTAGGGGGCACAAATCAGAGGAGCAGCAGTTTTCAGTTTCACAAGGCTTCCCCAGTCCATTGTGACAGAGGAAAAACTTGCATCTGAGTAGCCTCCTACTGTGTCAACACTTAACCACAGCAGGAAAGAGATGAAAGTACTTTAATGTAATTTTGAAGGCTTTTCTATTCCTATTTACAGAACACTCTTCGAGCGTAAGCCATCTGTTCTGAAGTGTCTGAGTGGGATTTGTGCTCCCTACTCTTCTGCTTCACAAACCTGTTGTTAAACAGGTGTGTGATTTCTCAAAGTAAGATTCTTCAAGACTAGTTCCATGACCAGGCAGAAGAGTTCTCTGGAGGTATGTTAGCGATACCAGGGCTAACCCCATAGAGGAGACTGGTTGGCCTGGCTCAGCTCCAGTACTCCACCCTCATCCCACTCTGACATTTTTAGACTGCGCTTAAGAGTTGGTGAAAAGGTGCTGGAGATTCACACTTCCCATCCATGGGACAGGAACATGATGGGTAGTGGTAGACATACCAGTGCCCCATATGCTGCCCTGCAAGGCTTCTAGCTTGCCCGGAAGAACTTCTCTGTAGGCGGCTTCTGTCATAGAGTAAGGCTGAATGAGCCACTTTCTGCCTTTAAGTTGTGATTGTGTGTGAGGAAGTGGGTGTCAGAACTGGACTGAACTTGCTTCAGGGACTGAACAACCTCTCTCATGCTTGGCTTAGAAATCTGGCAGTACACGGTACCTGGAGTCCTGCTTGCTCCTGCTGGTTTTTGCTTCCTCACTCTTAGCGGTTAGGACTATATTCAAATAACGTAGATCATAGAGCAACTGCAACGCCCTGTTCTGAGTCATTGGGAACGTGCCTTCTTTCTGTAAGGAAAGCAGAAGGGTATGTTTCAACATTCCCTTTATAATAATGGTTTCCAATGGTTTTCTGAAGACAGAACAAACAAAATACTCGGACCAATAAGCAGCAGGCTTAAGTCAAACAGTTCAGGTAGCTATCCTATGCCACAGCCACTCCTGTCACATATTGTATGCTCCTCAGGGCAGACACTGTCTAGTTTGTGAAGTGCCATGAACGTCTTTGCCCTAACAGTTCCAAAGGCTTCTGGACACGTCAGCAAAGCAACATGGAACAGAAATGACCAAACCAGTCATGCCAAATATCTCCCGGAGCAGAAGAAAAGACTTAAGTATGCTCTGACACATGTATTGGACAAAGAAAGGCTTGGATGATAACCTGGATAAAGGCTTGGGGAAACTGAGGCACTGGAGGGTAGAGATTTCGCATCGAGCTGGATCCCAGTCCAGGGCTCTGCCCCATAAAACATTTAAGTTTCTGGGGGCTTCTCAGAGATGAATTTTTGGGGTTCCCTGATCAGCAGGAAAGACTGACTATAATAGTGACTGCACATGCAGACCCTTTTTAGTACAACCATAAATCCCAGCTGCATACCTTCTCCTGCTTCTCTTCAACAAGCTTCTCATAGCCAGCCAGTACTTCTGCCAGGCAGGTCTTCAGCAGCAGCTGCAAGGTACGCTTTGGCAGAGCGTGACCTCCAACCCGATTGACTTCTTGACACAAGCTGAAGAGGAGGCATTGAACATACCAGGATGGCTGTTGGGGGGGAAAGAAAAACACCCCACACACCAATGAAAGCTGATATTTTCCTGACCTTTCTGTATGGGATGTTGGCATTATCAAGGGGAATGATAGAGGTTGTGAATTCTGGGTTTCTCCTGGTATCTCCTCCTCCTTCCTCATCACCAACCTTGGTCTCTTGCCTTCTCTCCTCACAGAACCCTGCCCCAGTGCTCCCATCCTGTCCTACCTCCTTACTCTTATTGACCCTGTACATACCCTTTCCCCCTCATCCTCCTCTGGCCCTTTCCCCTCATGAAGCATGTCCTGGTCTCCACTATATTCAAAACCATCTATTAGCCCCATCTGCCTTTCCAGCTATCATCCCCTCCACTCTAAGATCAGGAAATATGCAGTCTACAACCAATGCACTGATTTTCCCTCCTCCAGGTCTGCCTTGTGTTCCTTCCAGATGGGCGTTTACCTTTTTTCCACTCTACTGAAACTGGTCTCATTTTGGTCTTCAGTTACCTCTTCCTGGCCAAACCTCAGGGCTTCTACTCTACCCTCCTCCTAGAGCTGCAGCTCAACCTCTCCTTCCTGACATCTTATCCTCAGCAGGGTTTTGAGATACTGTCCTCTCCTGGCTTTCTCCTCTGTGTTTTTGGGTGGGGCCAGCTCTTCCCCTGGCTGTGGGGTTTCCCCAGGGCTCTCCCTTTGCTCTTTCCCTTTATGGTTTCAGCCATCGTCTGTATTGCTGATAACTCACAAATCTCCTTCTACCACCGGCCTGTCTCCTACCCAATCCCACATCTCAACTTGTCCGAGGTCCTCATAGGCATCAAGTGGTTAAATGCATTAAAGGTTATAAGGTGCTCAGATAAGTACTTATCTGGCTTCCATCACTGTACTAAGACAGATCTTAAACTGAATGTAGACAAAAACTGAACGTGTCTTCCCTCTTTTTCTATCACTGTTCACACCATCCTCCCACTCATTCAGGCTTACAATCTGAGGGGTATTTTTTACTCCTCCTTTTCCCTTGCCCCACACTTGCAAACCATTCCAAATCATGTTACTTCCTTCAAACATCTGTCCTTTGCTCTCCCCCACCACAGCCAAGTCTCTTGTTCAGGCCTCATTACAGCCTGCGTTGCTTACTGCAGTATCTTCCCTCTTCACCCCAATCTCTCTCTCTCATCCACTCCCTTCAGTCTATACAAAATGCTGCTGCTGCTAAACTCCTCTTTCTTGCCTGTCTGATCATGTAACTCCTCCCTATCTTCAATCCCTTGATCGGCTTCCCAGCCAATATTGCATCAAGTTTAAGCTGCTTGTCACCACCTTCAAAAGTCTACATAGCTTTCTCTCTCCCTACTTACCCATCCCTGTCCCAACTGCTCCACTGATGCTGCCCAATCTCATCCACCTGTTTGTCAGATTTATACAATCACCTCCTTGCCTTCTTTCCTACAGCACCCGATCACTTCATCCTTGTCCACCTTTGAGTTTGTCTTAAACTCACTTCTGCTGCACTGCCTTTACGGCATCTTATGGATTGGTAGATTATAAGCTGCCTATTTTAATTCCCCTTTTCCTGGCCTTTTCTCTACATCGGGAGCATCTCACGGCAGGGACTGTTCTCCTTAAGCGTTACCCAGCACACAATGAAAGGTACCGCAAATAATTAGTAATAAAGCCAAAGAGTTGGGGTACAGGTGATGTAGTGACAGTGTTATAGGAACACCAGCCATTCTGGGTACAGCACCAAGGCAGCAACATGGACTTTAGGGACCACTTTTAGTAAGAGAGGGACTGTTGGCCAGGGGCTGGCTGGGGCTTATCCCTCACTGCATATTTATATTCACCTTCTCCTACAGGACAGACCTGAAGAGGAGCTCGGTGTAAGCGCAAAACCTTGTCTCTTACCAACAGAAGTGGGTTCAATAAAAGATCCCTTTCTCTAGAATATCTTGAGACTCAGAGAGCTACAACACTGCATGCATATTCTTTGGCAGAAGTCCTAAGGTCTTCAAGTTGCTGCCTAGGACTTGGATACGTGACCCTGAGTGCACGGAGATTTCATAAGATAGGAGTGAATTCACTGAAACCTCCTGTAGTGAAATGCAGGTTTAGTGACTATTTAACAAGGCAGCAGTCGTAGACATTAATGCTACTACTAGCTTTTGGCCTCTTGAAAGATTATTTCCCTCCATTCACCCAGAGGACATTGCTCACACCTGTACAGGGAGTCGGATCTTTGACATTACGCTGCTTCCCGTTTCTGTCTCTTCCTGAATTTCAATTTCATCCCAGTTGGTGGCTGTAGCTAAGATAGAGCCAGCAGCATCTAGCAGCAAAGTTTTGGTGAAACTGTGAACCAGGACCTAGAGGGAAAAAATATCAATATTCAGTAACAGCCCAATGCAGGTGCTAGGGGTCAGGCAGTCTATTTACAGCTCCCTTGTGTTTTTCACTTAGTGAATCTGCTGAGGAGACTGAGGTGGGTAAAGTATTTTCCAATTGTCTTTAAGAGCATCACACCAAGGGGATCGGGCAGCTCAGAGTGTGACTATTTCAGAGCCATATTCATTGGAAATTGATCAGGTACCCTAACGCTAGTAGTGGCAGTGTTCTAATGAATGGAAAGTCTCTGAAGAACTAGTAAGTTACACGTGCAGCGGTGGCTGTGGGCAGCTGTGAAAGAGAAACCTAAATAGGAAAGGAGTGCGCTCAAAGAAAACTGGCTACTTACTTTGATAACAGCTGAGCTCCAAATCTGATATGCAAATAGGCTCTGTTGCAGGAATTGTTCTTTCACTTCCTGCCACTTGGCCTGCATGGGATTCAACTCCTGGGCTTTCCCTTTCCCCAGCTTTTTAGAAGACCGGGTCTCCCTCATTACATTCTCTGTGCTGCCTGATTTACCCAGAATGCACTGCTTCAGGTGAGGACACAGTTCACCTAGTGACTGACAAAGTCTTGCCATGAAGAGGACGGCATTAAGTTTGGCATCGTTCAGAGCGTCTGTGTGTCCTTTCAGCTTGTCCTCAGCACTCTGCAGCTCTTCTCTAACACAGCCCAAGACGTACTGGATGCATGTAATGCAGTGATCACGGAGCAGCTCTTCTACCATGCCAGCATCAGCATATCTATCAAAAGCAGAGTTCCTGGACTGCACGCCCAATAACTCCTTGGGTGTGGGAGAGTCAGAGGGAAGGTAGGACAGGAGGTCATCCAGTTTGGCCTTCAGTTTGGTATCCAAGGCAGAACAGAAGCTCTGCACACAGGGAGTGAGAGCCTGGGCCTTCATGGACAGGCCACTCTTTGCAAATTGGCTGCGGTTTGCCACATTGACCCAGGCAGCATCAGAAGGCATGTCGCTGGGGCTCTCTGACCACAGAAACAAAGCCATGTTGTGTTCAAATTGGATGTGCTTGCTGGGGGTGGAGGTGCTGGACTTGACTTCAAGCTCCTGTAGAGCTAAGATAAGAAGCTGTTTCGAACTGCTGGAGATGGAGTCAAATCCTTCCTTCGTCAGGGTCTGGAAAAGAGAATTTTCCTTTCTCAGGTCTCAATGGCTGTCACATCACCCATTTTAAGAGTGCCTCTACGGCTGCTGAAAGGTACTGTGGACAGCCCTGGAGAGCAAAGACCTCTTGCCACAGACAGTACCACAAGGGGAGCAGCTCTGCAAGCTTCCCCATGCATCACCAGCCTCCCCCGCACCCAGCTAACGTGTGCTCCTTATGACCTGTTCTCTGCTGAGACTGCCAGGCTAGGGAAGCAGACAGCACTTAAACACTGCCAAAGTCAGCCTGGCTAAGCCCCTGACAGCATCTCACCTGTAACCTGTCCAAGAAAAGCTGCCGCAGCAAGTCCTCCCAGAAGGAGATGGGCTTGTCCAAGAGTCGATGACACACAGTGTCCCAGTTCTGGCTCATGGACTCGCTGGTGAGCAGCTCCCACACAGCGTCACGGATGCCGGCTAGGCCTTTCAGGCTCTTCACATAGCCCAGCAGAATGACGAGCCCAGATTTGATATCTTCATTACACCTGAAAGCAATATTCACTTCAATC